GATGCCGGAAAAGAAAAGGGATATTTTTCTGGGTGACGATAATGGAGTTTCATAAGTCTCCCAATCGTACCGACTTTTCCTTAAAACACGTTTTTCGGTAAAACCCTCAAACGACATTTGTAATTTCTGCTACCATAAGGAAAACAAAACTGAAAAAAGTAAAACATGCAATTCGCAGGCGGTGATGTCAAATAAGCGTAACACAACAGGTTGTTGAGGTTATCTAGTCCAGCGTTTCAAAATTGAACACAAATTTCAAAACAAAAATTTCTTACAGCAATCAATATAATGTTGCCAATCCAGAAGAATAAAATTCAGATGCTCCTTTTTATTTACTTTAAATTATGGGTATAACAGACGTTGATATTTTCACCCAAACCTTTCCTTCAGTATCAGTTTTAAGTTCAAATAGTTGAAGTGCTTTTGTTAAACAAAGAAATAAAAATTAGCTGCATGCAAATAACCAAAGGGAGCCCGATGAAAACAGTAAATATGCAGTAAAAAAAAGATATAAGCAATACAGACTGCCACCAGTCGACGCAGACGTTTAATGCTGAAATAAAAAGCGGGACATAGCACTAAAAACATAGGATCTAAAATAAACCGTTTTAAGCCCTCCGCGCTCTCGACATAGTGGAAATGTGCACGCCGTTAACACGCTTCCGACATCCCATACTTCTGCCTCGTTTATTGGTGGGTCAAGTTTTCTATAAGAAGAAAAAATTAATCTTGTTTTTCGAACTTTCTGCAGAAGTACAAAGACTCTCAGAAAACAGAGGATGTAAGATTGAAGAAGGATGTTTTCACATTTTACTTATCCTCTTAACTGAAGAATGTCCAAAAAATTTTTTAGTTTTTCTGAATGAAAAAAATAAGAAATAATGACTTACACAAGAGCAGCAACAGCTTTGCAACCGAGCTCACGAATAGAGTTTGACAGTAAATCCGACGGTTCAACTCGAACATATTCCTTCAAAGCAGTAAGTAGATGTGTAATACGCACGAAGACTTTCAATAAAACAACTAGAGAAGTGTAAAAAATATTAGATAATAGTGTAGTGATAATAATTAAATCTCGAGCGACAGACCTTCACAAAACCAAGCATCTCATCTCGCATACTGAGTCGATAATCCCCATTTAAATGCGATGGATGAACGGTAACGCCAATCAAATAAAACGTTTCTAATAAAGCCTCTCGAACAACAGTTTCTTGCTGTAAGTCAGAAAAAAAAAAACTGAACTTCCTCACATGAACTTAACAAGGAACATTCTAACTAACTTTGGGGTTTTCAAGATAACTCCGCAGGAATACAAAGACAGTTTGTTCTAAACGCTGCGTTACAAGGTCGACAGGACAATTCAATAGAATGTACCCTAAAAAATGCAATAAAATCCACTGCTAGAGAATTGCATAAAACTTACCGCAACTCAACATAATTGTCGCTCTCAAGAAGACCATTTCTCCATTTGTATCGTGTTTATAAGGCATAGCATCCTAAAAAACACCTGTGACAACTTCTAAAACATCTACAACAAATAAAACGGTTTCTAAAAACCCATGACGTAAAATACATTACAATACTGTTTGATAAAAAATATTAAAGCAAGCCTTTATAAATCCAAAAAATCCGCTACTCTTTTTCATATTCTCCCACTTGGCGATGTTCTCTAATTCAGTCAAAACAACGTCTGTGTGCGTGGTTGCACAGAACCCAATGCTTTGAGCACAACCCACTCGTTCCGCTAATATCGAGTGTGCCGAAGATCGAAAAACCAGAACAATGTGGTCAACAACGAAGCTCCTATTGCTGATACGAGCAAGAACACACCCAAGGCATTGCATTAAAAAAGCCTGGGTCAAAATAAATTTAAGAAGAGTTAATTAGAAACCGATAAAAAAGAAAATGTCCAAAGATCCAAAAGTCGTAAAATTCAAGAAAATTACTTTTTCACTCGCCCTTCCAACGTAAAGTGATAACTGTTTTCCCATAGCAGCCGCCAAAGCACATCGCCACTCCTCGTCGTCAACCGAAGTGACACAAGCCGAAATGAAGTTATATACACGTTCATGCCATTGAGCTACCCTTGTTGATCTCAACTCTATCGTCCCATGATCACGTCTTTTCGAACTTCCGGGAGAATGAAGAGGTGAAAGTTCTGCAGCTTTTCAATTATGTCAACAGCAGTACAGACCAAATGCAATTTTAAAAGTCGAAGAACTAATATTATTAGCAGACATTAAAGAAAACAACTAAACACCTGATTAAAACAACTGCTCAACCACATTAAAGAAGATGACATATCAGAACCTTGAAAAGTAAGCAACACGACTGAGATATTGAGAGGTGACTATACCTGCAGTTAGTGCTTTGTTCCTAATGCTTCAAGTGCTGTTACCACTTATGATTTTAAATGTTTTCAAGTGGTTTTAAAGCAGTTAACAACTCCTTTTCGGAACAAAAAAGATGTGACAATAAAGAAATATATCGTTTTTATTTTAGGCAATGCACTATCAACTAAACCACTATTTAATTAGAGACGGATTATCACTAAAAAACCCTTTGCTTGTAATAACTAATGTTTTTCAATTGAAGAACAATATTAAATTCCCAAAGAGTTTATTTACCATTTATGGACATTTCTAATTGTTCGAATCGTTCATGAACAGTTGTCTCTATAGATTTATGAAACCATATTGCAATGGCACGAATAAGTCGCAAAGCTTCATAAGCTTTTACAAATAATTCACCATTTACAGGAGCTCCTCCCAGGCAAGTCAAAAGGCGAGCAAATACTTGTTTTGGGCCTGCTACGTTCGCTGAAAAGGAAGGTAAAAACTAAAACAACTGAATTCCTGCTACTTCAGTTGTAAAAAATACTACATAACTAAAAAAATGCTTTAAACAATTAAATAAATAAACACGTCGAAGATTTTCCCTACTTAAAGAACGTCGTTCACAAAAACATTAGAAAAAATACTTACGATGATCAAAACCTGTTTCGTAATCCACCGGCTTATTTTCCAATTTTCTTCGCTCAACCAAAATTCTCAAACACTTGAAAATATCAACCAAGGCAGGAGTATGAGCTTCGGAACATATATATTCAAACAATAAAGGCCATAAAAGCTATAAGATAAAGCTTCACGTACCATAAAAAGTTAAACGCCTGTCTAGCTGAGTTAGACAGTAAACACTACAAACAATTCAATTACTTTATGCGCTGCACCACACGTTTTAGCTATAGTCTGGAGCGCTTGTCCGCACTGCAGTCTCAATTGCTTCGGTGACTCATTGTCTCTATCAGGACTACTTGATGGCGACTTTTTACCCTTAATATGAAACTTTCTGAAACTGACACTAAAGTCCGCAAAAACTGGTAAAACGATTCAAAAAATACCGAATCTTCCTGAGCGATAAGGTTGTTAATTAGGAAAAGAATGACTTGTTCGCTCCCTTCAATCCTAACGTAACCATGGTCAGCAAGAGCTACACACAACTGACAAATAGATTTGCGGACTCGAATGTTCAAGTTGTTATCACTACCAGCTTGTAAGATTGGCTTTAGACCCAAAATAACGAGGGAGTACTTATCTTCCATATAGGACCCTAAAAACAAAACAAGCAAGTTTGGAATAAGCACACATGACAGACGCAGCGAATTTCCAGAAGTCAATAAAAGGATATGAATCGCAGTTTACCAGATGAATTGATCAGATGTCTTAAAACGTTAATTGCTCCAAGTTTGCAAGAGTCTTGCACGTTTTGCATTTTGTGGAGCAGGTAATATACGATTTTGTCGGCAAATCTTGCAGCTGAAATTGAATTCTATATTCAAAAGAGTACAGAAAAAAATATACATTTAGACTTCAAAATTCTGAAAAACATTTACCAGCTACGTGGAAACACCGCAGAGCTTCGTTTTGATTTCGTATCGAACTGCTAGAAACTACGTTTTGTTCACTTATAACACAGACGAATGGAAACAACGTATTTAAAATCTCCTCCAAATAAGAGTCCAAAGCACAAGATTCATCCCTACAAGTTGCTTCCAAAAAGTGGCAAATTCCCTGAAATTGTTCCGCTTAATTCTAAGGTTCTTACAAAACAGTTCTGAAGTGTTAGCAACAAGCTCACCTGAGTAACTAGGTGTTGGTCTGAAGTACATTTCCGATGAACTCCTAGTAAAAGAGGAACCAATTTACGCAAATCATCGTTGACTCGTTTCTTTGGAATCATTAAGCATAATTCGCCAATACAATTCGCTGCTTCAGACCTTACCTAAAAAAATACTGCCTGTTAAAAATCTATTAATAAGTAAAACTTAAAAAAAAAAGGCAATTCAAGAAAAAGGCGATCAGAAGAACGAGTAAAGAGAAAAAAATAAACAAAACAACGAATTACCTTTTGCTCCCTAGAACTTGGCCAACTACAAATTGCTTCATACGCCGTTTCTAGCTGATCAGCATAAGTCTTTATAAGCTCATCATCGACTGTAACAATCTCGTATTCAAACTCGGCAACGGGACCCTCAGTGTTTGGTTCTTCCGCTGTGTCATCAAGTGTCGATTTTGACTTAGACAGAGGGTAAGAAGTAGCATATTCCCTCAATGTTTCGCAGAATGCGTAAAAAGCACGAGCCCAAACTAGACGATGGCCGTCGTTTTTTACGTAGGGAAGAAGAGGGATTGCCCGAGACAATATGTCGATCAGATAAGGGACAAAACCATAACCTTAAAAATTGAAAAAATAGAGCTTTATTGGGCCTATACAGTAACAAAAAAAACTTTATACGCGACTGAACTAAACTCTTTTTAACCGAACACTTTAATTCTCTTAAACATTAAAGATGCGCTTACAGTTGTGTTCTGATATCATAGCCAATGTCACAAAAATATAGCGATGAGGTAGTGTGGATAAACCAGGAGGAAATTTCTGCAACAGTGCATCCATTACATGCTGCACCAACTTTTCTTTCTTAGCTATAGTCACTAGAACGCCTGAAGCGGCCAACGAGCAATCTTCTTCATTCTCCTGCAACGAAAAATTTCAAACGAGAAGACCATATAGCCTCGGAAAAGAATAATTTTTACAAGTTACAAAAAAACCTACAAGAGAATTCAAATAAGATAATATTATTCATTCCAAATTATTTAATATAAAGTGCTTCAAAAAAAACTATAACCTTCCATTCAAAATATCAACTCTATATGAGCTACCTTTCACTTAGAATGCTTGTACACTTAGCAGTTGAGTTCTCTAGCCTTCTTATACCAATTACCGTTAGTACTAACAAAAAAACACCGTATTAAGAAGTAACTCACTAGACAAAATAAGATCAAGTACAAATTGTGTCTAACAGCTCATAAAAACCTCCAGAACAATAACGTTTTACTCGAAAGTAATGATGGATCACTTCCCAGAATAGGTTCCTTCTCTCTCAAAATCGTAAGAGGTATTAACATAAAAAACTTTTAAAAGCTGCTAAAACTTGTCATTTTTGATCCAACACTCCCCGCTTACCATTTCCAACATTGTCCGACTCTTTCTCTTCCAGCTAGGCTCTTACCTCTATTTCGGAAAATATGATTCTAATTTGTAAATTCCAAAAAAACTTGACAGAGAAACTATTAAAAAAATTTTTCCAGATGTTCTTAATGGATACTCTTAGAATGGTGATGATGAATTGCAGTTCATAATTCCTGCCCCAATCATATTCATTATAAACAATTAGAATAGCTCAAGCAAGAAAAACCTCTCATAAGAAAATTCTCCGCTTCTAAAAAAGACAAAAGAAGAGTATACAGATAATAATAATGCATTATTACAGTTTAATCACTCAATGATTTGCCGCAGATTTGAAAGTAACTGTAGTCAGAAAAAAATAATACACAATGTTATGAATTTCTGATGGGGCTTCATTAAAACTTCTCAACTGGCCAAACTCCACAATTTCAGACCAAACGAGCTTCATCGGAAGGCAAAACCTCGTTATATCCTCTGAGGTTGAAAGAAAAAATGAAGCAAATTAAAACACTCATTAAACATACCTCTAACAAATAAAAAGATTGCAAAACGAATTTAGAGATGCAAAATACTTATCAATTAGCAATCCGAAAAAGTTACCTTTGCTAAGGTCATTTCCTGCGTTACTAGGTTTATAACCAACAGTAGCTGTTGTTCATCAATTTTTTCCAAAACTGTACTGTGCTCTAGCACTCGGTTGAGGCAATTCAAAATAAGTACTCTACTTTGTTCGTTTAACTGTAAAAAAAATTTATTATGAAGCAAATAAAAGAAAAATGATTTGATCTAGAGAAACTAAGATACTAAGAGAGTATGAGGTTAGAGTGCAGTAGAAACTCAACAAACTTTTGTATGGTGTACAAAGAAACCATGCAGAGCTGAAAGGAAGACAGTTGGTTGCACGATGCCAATTGCAACCAAAGAGCTTGCTACGTCCTCGCGAAGCTCCTCTTTGTTTGGCAGGTAAACTGCGCATTCAAAAACACCCGTTATTAAATCTAAAATCTACTGTACATCTACCGTTAACTATAGAAGAACCTTAAAAAGAATCTTGTGGAACCATAGTAAGGTAGTTCAAAACAAACCCTCCAAGTTTCTTGTCATGTCTACTCAAGCACCCACAACCATCTTAAACGAAAATAAAATCTCTGAAAAAGTACAGACGATATAAAACACCAGATAAAAATATGATACTTAACATTTTTACAACAAACGTCGACATATCTGTTACCACTATAGAACGGTACAGCAAATAAGAACATTTAATGAATAAATGATTCGCAAGTCATACAAAATTTATGCTTTATCAAAATCAAGTTGTATTACCAAACCAATATCTATTCTGAAACTATGTGAACTATCAATTCCAGTGTCTATAGTATACTAAAAAAATTAAAAATATTATCAAAAATTTTTTCACTTCTGTGTAATACTAAACGATTATGTCAAAAGTAAAGCAATAAGTGAAGGCACTACTGTTTGAAAAATTCTGATGTTTTCCTACGCTTATGCACGATTTTCGATTCCTAACTAAACTTCACAGATATGATCCCAAATCTCACAAATATTTCAAAAACCAAGCAAATGTCAAAAAACTCTCTCTCCCTCTTCCTTGACCTTTCAGTGGCGGTTACACCATAGCAACTAGAAATTCAGCACCTTGACTTGTCCCTCTTTTCATGCAGCCTATCGCAGAGAATCGGTATAGAGTGACATAATCAACTTTTCGCTCCTCAATTCCTATAATTCTAAGCACATCCGCCAAAGTAAAAGAACAGAATGCCTAAAGCCAAAAACCTCTAACTGATTCTGCGGACAGCCCACCATCTTCCACTCAGCGGTAGTTCTAAGAGAACTTAAAACAGCTAAGTGATAACAAGCGAAAGCTCTAGTATAAAAATGATAAATAAATTTTTTTTTTTTATAGTCCAACTAGACCCCAATCAGGCAATCTTGTGACACAGATCCTTACGCCATAAAAAAAAAAGAAATTTTATTCTTTAATTGCTTTCCACAGTCCGCTAAACCTTGACTATGTCTACCATTTATTTCTTTATTTCTTGGTAGTAGCCGCTGATATATCTATTCACTAATATCTCACCCAAATGGAGGATAACTTACTAGATAAATTCTGTAAAGCATTACAGAAACTTCTGAGTTAGCCTGGTGAAACTTAAACAATATTTTTAAGACTCAATTAAAGTAACCTTTTAGATCTCTGTAGTAGTGATGACTCTACGAAGACAAGTTTCATCATTTTAAGTCCAAATATTCGGTTGTCTGACACGCAAATTAAAATCTCAAATTTGACGGAATGGCAACGTCGTTAATTCAGAGAAATTTGCCTGTATTTTTACATTCAACAATGAAAGCCTCCTCGTGTTTTCCAAGGCGAACAAGTCCTAAAACTTTTTGGAAAAACTTTGGTACCAGCCTAACAAGTTCCATTTATAGGAAATGCTAAAAAATAGTCTAATTTCGTCTCGGAACGATGAATAAAAATATTGTTTGATTAAGCACAAAAGTATCAACAGCAACCTAGGCCTATAAATAGTTTACAAAGTTACCGGCATTACAAACTTAGCTATACAGAAATAAGGTTTTTAAACATTAGCACGCCAACAAATAAAATGCTGAAAACGTGTCGTGCATATTTATGTACGTAAGCAATATTGAATGCGTTACATATACATAAACAACATGGCTTATATATAGATATACAAGTGTAAGACCACAATGACTATGTGTCAAAAAAGATTCTTTTTACGTTGAAGTTCCATCGAATTTAAATAAATGCCCACTATAACAACTGCTGTACAATTATCAATTTTTCACTCACTCTAAGCTTGAAAAAAAAAAAATAAGTAAGGAAATAATAAGCAATAAATAAACTCGCCTTTTAAAAGGGTGAAAAACGGCTACATTAAAGACGATGGCTAACACTGACCATTACAAAATAAAGTTTTAAAGCATGTTGTACGCATCAACTTCGCTAAACAACTGTAAACTTTTTTTTTCCTGACTTTCCAACAGCAAAACAATGGAACATCGAATGCTTAACAAGTGATGCGCACAAATTATAAGACGACAAGCTTGTCTCAGTCACAAGTCGTGCTTATAAATTATGCAACACTGAAAAAGCTAATTTTAAATACCGCTTGGCTTCACTCCAACTCTGCACACAATCCGACTGCCATTTGCTGCCGTTTTTAGACAACAGACAGCCCCTAGAGCCTTCGGTTTTGTAAATGGCGCCGCTTTTTGTTCTGCTTGTTCACTGCTTGATTTCAGGTCCACCAACCATAGATTAAGATTTGCTGTATGTTACTACCCGTCATTTAGAAATGCAGATGCATATTTGCAGCTTTCTATAAATAGAGCAAGCCAGAAGTCAATGAAGTGTGGTCAACTTTTGCAGTCACAATCAGTGGTGGCTAAATAGACTTATAACCGTTGCATTGATTTTTCCAGGAATGATCAGTGAAATGGTTTATTGGTCAATGCATTATCAAATGAAGAACATCATTACTCAAAGCATTGTTAATGCGCGTACATCTATTAAATGTATCGATTCTTAAAAATTGCTATCAGTTAAAAATTGATAATTCGAATATTTCAACAACATTTCTACAGAACAAAATTCACTTAAGGCGAAATCATTTCCAGTTGCTTTTTTTTATTCTCTCCCCCCGCTTCTCCTCCATCCTATACGCCTTTCATCCAAAACCTGGTAAAAACAAGCAAAGAAAAGGGATGAATAACTGGAACGAAAAACATCTTAACTGTACATCTGAACCATTTCAGTTCATAGAGAACAAATAAAATCGTTTAGTAGTCAATGGAAAATAAACATACTGAAAGTATACGGGCAAATGAAGCTAACTAGTCCAGTAGTTTAAATTTCAAATTAAAAAATATATTAAATTTTATGATTAAAAAATATATTAAATTTTATAATTTAAGCAGTAAAAATAACCGAATATACATGGGGGAAAAAGATAGCTAACGTGGCAACACTTCGTCAAATATCTGACAGACTAACGATTGAAGCCCAGTAGAACAGTGCATGATACTACCGCAGAAGATCGATAAAACAGTTCAGCAGCGCAGTGACAATGGATAAATAGTTGAAGCCATTAAAAAAATGCATGGAAACAAGTGTTGGAATCAGTTGATTGTTTTAGCACATTCTAATCCATGTACAACAAATTTTTTTATCATTCTAAGCACCAGTTTATACAGCAACTTCCGAACGAAATATATGTAAGAATTTATGCTCTTAAAATGGTTCAGTTTGTAGGCATTTTTTTTAGCCACTCAATATGAAGTGTTTGTCGCAAATGTTTGCAGAATTTGTTTTCTTAACCAGAAAACTGGAAAAAAAAAAGCATTTTTAGTTTGTTTAACTATTGTTATGCAATCACAGTACAAAAATTTCAATCTCTGAGTGTACAACGGTATAATCGAGGTGTACCCAAAGGTAACACTTAAGCTGTTCCTCGTTTAATCGTATAAATTTCCATAAATATGGAAATACTTTTGCTAGATTCTAACAAAAATATCAACAATTTGTTGATTTATTGAAAATATATAAGTTAAAAAAACTGTAATGTATCTGTACGCAAAAATAGTAAACTATTAAACTGTCGACGTAAATAAGGAAAGGACATCGAGTAAAAACTAAACAAACAACGGTGCTTCTTTGACTACATGAACGACTTCCTAAAAATTTAAATTTATTATTTGTTCTACTTTTTGATACTTGGCAATTGCCTGTTAAAAATTAGGCCAGTGATTAGGAAAAACTTTCCAAAAAAAAAGTATATATATATAACGTATACACATGCACTCGTTTACTTACTTCCTAAAATTAAAAATTTTTTGTTAGAGTTATTCAAATAACGGCTAAAACACGAATTACATTCCGAACAACAATTTAAAATTTATATACACAAGTTACGTAATTAATTTTACGTCTAACACTTCATATTACAGTGTTATAAAATAAAGCTTTGAACTGCTGAGATACATATTTCATCGGTAGACTAACTAGGACTGTTTACGCAACACTTTCACGTATTGGTAGCAAAGTTTTTTGTCGAACCCTTGGTATTATCGAATATTGAACATCAACAGCAATTTCGTCTCGTTGTGGTAATTTTATGCCCTGCCGATTATGGAAAACAGGTGTCCAGTCGGCGTAATCCTCAATGTTTGCCAGTCTTTTTGGCAGCAATATCCGATTCTTTCTTCTTTTTGTTGTGAACGATGGCTTTATTCCTTTCTAAATGGCATTAGAGAAAGCTAAATATGGTATCTTTTGAAAGAATTTTTTTTCAACTACTGAATAAACGGCATTAATCATTATAACCACTGCCGCACTGAACAACAGCATTTAGAGCCAAAACAGCCATTATGCTTCCGTAACTTTGACGGTACCATCAAATGCACTAATTCATTCAAAATACGAGCCAAAAATATTTTACTTTACTGAAATTTTGGTTTGGCTGCATAACTTGTCCTTCTTTGAAAGTTGCAGAATTATCAGTGGAACATTCTTCATTCTTACATTCTTCTTTGACCACTGGTTTCGTCTAAAATGATAGAGGAAAACAGAGGGCACATGAACGACATTAGAGAAAACAGTTGTCAAATTAAAATCCAAAAAAAAATATCTGACTTCAAAAAGCTTAGAAGAAACTATGAAAACGAAGGCGGACCGCATCAAGACACACTGCCGTTCAATAAAATACTTAAAATTAGACTCTGGTGATATAACTTACTCACTTTACCAAGAACAAAGTTATTCAAAGAATTTTCCAATGATGGAAGAGCCCATTTAGCCAAACCAGTTGTCAAAATTCCCTGCAGATCATGTGGTTCACTTCTCCGTATGGCTAGAGCGTCCGCCATTGGCGAAATTTTGTATCGAACTTGAAAATATTTCTCCATAGCCTAAATAAGAATAAGCGCGTCTAAAACTTACTGTCTTGAACAATAATTCCGTTAAAAACATGACTTCGCTGACGAAACAATTATTGTTTTGAAAGTAGTTTTGCACCGATTAGTGAAAGAATGTAACTTTGAAGTACAAAGAGTGGCTGTTTAAATGAAGTGCAAAAAGCGTTTTAAGATAAATTTTATTTCTTATAGGAAAGAAGTCGAACTCGATCACAGGCGTCTTGGTCTTCCTTCACACAAGCTAGCCGAGCCATGTTTAGTGCTTCTTTACTTCGATCATCCATTTGTTGTTCAGAGTATTCCACTTTGGGACTACTTCTCTTTGTTGTAGCAGCAGCATTTAGAGGGGCACCTCTTGCTTTTGTACTGAAAGTTCTCCCTCGTCCAAACTAAAAGAACAAAGCTAAAATTCCCAATTATACATACACGGACTGTTAGGTTATTCTGAAAACGTCTTAAAGTTTAGCATCTTTAATCGAAGTTAGACACTAGTTTTTGCTTTACTTATCTTTTAATTGCTTCTCTGTAGACTATTCGCATAACTTGTAGTCGGCTCCCATGATTCCAGGAATTACTGGTGTTGTGAAAAAGAAGAAGATGCAGTTATAAAACTGCTCAGAGGGAGAAGTACAAAGTTAGATGTAATCGAATGAACCCAATTTATACCTCGATAATATTAGTAAAGAAAATCATAAAGATGATGCTAACGAAGACGTGCTGAACAGTGATCAAAAGTTTTTAAACATGGAATTCCACGCTATCGCGTCAGAAGGTACGATGGAATGATTATTTATACTTTAAGAGTCAAATGTGTCATTTGCAGTTAGGTAAGTACGGTTTTGCAACCACTGATTCTAGCAGTTGTAGAAGCCTGCAACCAGTTAGGCGTAACGCAAAACTCATGGATAAGAGGAGGTTGAAACAAGTGACGTAAGTTGATGGAAGCTCATTATCCCTGTTTTTTAGGAAGATGCATACTGCAAATCAGATGATATTTAACGATATTTAATTCCGTGGCAAACTCTCAGAGAGAAGGTACTTCTACAAAATGTTCTGACGTTGCTAAAATTACCAGACACAGCAGTGCTTGATAATTCTTAACTGTCAAAAGATTTTAGGTAATCAGCAACTTTTTTAAACAGAATTGGTTAATTGTTAGTGCGACAACTAGCAGGAAGATCGTTGTTATGTTACGTTCAAAAAACACGCAAAAATCTCGAAATTTAGAAGAAATTTTTAAAGATTTTTCGGCCACAACTATCACAAAAGAGTGTTGATTGTTTGTTTGCTTCAACTGTAAAAGGTAGCAAATACCATAACACAAGAGCGATTTTAAATTGTAAGTCCCAAAAGAGAGCAAAAGAAGAGTTAAAGGTACATGAATTGTTTTAGCGAGTGAACCAATTACTGTTATTATCTAAAAGTGGTGATAAGATAGAAGAATTACAGCACTTATAGTCAATTATTATTCGTCTTTATTAGGGACGTATAGAATATACGAGGTGTAAGCTATCGAAACTTACCAATTCGAAAATGCTAACAGTTCTAAAGTAGTCTCAAACTTTTTGATAATTTAACATTGGTTCAAAAAAATTGCTATTTCTAGATGATTACTTTGTTAAAAACAATAAAAAGATGGTCAAACTTGTAAATTTAGAGTTTTCATCCCAAACGGTAATGGCAGTTGAACTCCATAAACTTGTCGGTTTTTTGATGTGGTGTCCGCTGCAGCGTCGAACAATTCGTTGACAATTGTCATTGGATTAATCTAAGAATTGTTGCTTTAATTGACTTCTCAGTAACTTTTAAATAAGAACATTTAAAAAATGTAATAAGACTTTTTTTTTGCACTACTATTTATTTAAAATACTATTTTAAAAGTAACATTACCTCGTTTTCATCAAATTTTGGAACTTTAATATCAACGTTATATTCATTTTCATTGTTCCGATAATGAAAAATACCGCGTGAAAAATTAAAATTTTCACGTTTTGAACCTAAGATTAAACCTTGTGTAGTAGTCTCAAGTTTTAAGAAAGTTCTTTTAAATACTTATAAAAAGTTTGATCAAGGGTCCGACTGATTCTAATATAATTCTTTTTTTTCTTTTTAATTTAAAGGCACTGAAGAGGTTAGTTTCCAGCGCTATTTTAGTGGATTATAAAAGTGGCAACGATTTGTCGAACAGAGAAAAATGTAGTACTTTTGTCATAACCAAATATGCAGAATTTGTTATATGTGCAGTATTCTCAATAAATAGATAAATATATAACAGTAAACCACTAATGGATTGTTTCTAACCTGTTAATTGGTTTACAGAAGTTGATGGAAAAATATTGGATATAATTTGTGAATTCATTATTCGTGCTATAAAACAATGAATCACTGAACTGATATACAGGTTTAATTGGCGGTTATGAAAACTATTAACGATTACTTACAGGTAGAAATGATTATTAAACAGACGTAAACTGATGCTTTATCTACTGTCATCAGGCTTCAACTGTTGGATCCACGACAATCGGCATAACAACTAATGGGCAACAAAATTTATTTATTATACAGTTATGTACTGTAACACAGGATAAGGTTACCGGCCTGTGAAACTTACATTATACTGCATATTTTGACGACCTTAAACACTGAAAACTCTTGACTTAGACTGGCTCATGTTTTATAACTAACAAATGATATTTATGCAATTTTTCGATATAATATTAAAAAAAATTTAGCGGCAAGCAGTAATTTGTTTTAGTCACAGAACATTTTAATGATGATAAAACGAGCAACGATATTTTGTCAGTTTTTTTTGAAGCAAATTTTAAAAAACTATAACTGCAGTAAAATATGGTTTACTTACAAGAAGAAATACTAGCTATTGTAAGTGAATTAATGTTAATTCAAATGAAAGTATGCTAAATTCTGCTGAAACAATAACATCAAAAAAAAAAAAAAATTATTAATCAAATTTGCTGAAATGTAATGAAATTGTAGTGGACACACTGTGTCACTAACCGCTGAACATGTCGATGTATCGTCACTGACCCAAAATTTTCAAAAATAAAGACATTTTTTTTTTAATTTATAGAAAGCAAAAGTGACCGATCCGTTTATCCCTAACTTTCAGATTCACTTTTGAACTAAATTTGTTAAGAATTTAGATGACAGTGATCATGACGACAACAAATACTTCGTTGTTTGATTGTCTTAAACCAAACAAGTGATTTCATTAAAAATTGCTCTCTGTGGCCACAACTCTAACTAATTCGACAATTTTCTCGATTGCTTCGGCGAAATTACGGTGGTACTACACAAGAAGAGTTAAAAAACTTTTGGTTTCAAAAGCCCGAGTAGACGTAATCGAATATCATCGAAGTGTTCGCCCAAAGTTTTTTAAAATTTTATCTCACCAGACTTTCTAAAATGCAAAAATCTATTTTATTTGTTGATTTCAAATGATGGTTTTTTCGACATTTATTTACTTATTTTGTTTCATTTGTGCTGTTTTTTATTGCACTTTATATTTCTTTTCTTCTTACTTCTTCGTCTTTGTATTAACCTTTTATTTATTTCAGAGATACCTTTAACCTCGTTATTTTATAGATGTTGAAAACGTAAAACCTACACAGCTTTCCTTTCTGTTTCTTAGAAGTTGGACACTGAAACTAGAAAAAAAGAGTAGTGGTAGGATATATTTGACGCCAATACAGTCGCTAAACAAAGTGAATTCTATGAAGATTATAGAGATCGAAAAAGTTAACTGACGAGAAAAAAATAAAAGCATCTCAGTCGTTCTTTTTAACAATGCAGTTACAGAACTGATACCAATCGACTTAAAGCCGTTCATGTATAGTCGCTGCTGAGCATCTAAAAAGTAACGAAAATGTTGAGGTCTATAAGATAAGACGATTTACAGGACGTGCGACATCTACGGCTAAAGTAGTCCTTAGGTACGCAGTATGATTTCAGCTTTTCAGGACAGTAGTAAGACGAATGATAGCGAATATTTTCTTTACACTGAAAGGATAGTAACTATTTTTTTTTTTCAGTAAAATTTTAGAAAATGAGATTTGCAGTAAACATTCTGAATTTAATAATGAACGCAATTAATCGTCAGTTTTCTGGTTAGCCAGAAGTAACTCTTAAGAAGTATAAGTGTTAATTGGCAAAGTAATTTCAAATCTTCCATCAAACACAGCCATGGAAAGACAGCTTTTTGTTCACTTGTTCATTAACCAGCTTAAAAATTGGACAGATGACTGAACCTTATTTATTCATTCCCCCCTCGAGAATCGCAGTGACTCCATTCCAACCAAATAACAACCCTTCTCAAAAGCCCTTATTTTAGACAACAACCCAAAAATAGATACGAGTTGTCGAAAGAACACGTACACTTTGCAGAAGTAAACACTGACAACTATGAACAATTGTGGTTCCGTCTACCACCTGGCTGAACAAGGGCTTCTCAAATTTTCCAAGCCCGCAGTCTTCAATCAAGCTGATCATTTTTTCTTCACTCCTTCGGTAATTCTTATCAGGTGTCTTTTATTGGAAGCTTTTCAAACACTTTTTGTATTCAGAGAAGTGCATGTAGAAAAGTTGGCAATTTGTTCGAATATAACGGTGAAAATTTGTTGAGAACCCTACTACAAAGCCATTTGGAGCACACTTCTTACACCTTTCAAACCCTTTACACTGATCTTTCAGTATCTTTTTAAAACTAAAATATGCTATATCTTTTTCTATTCATACAACTCTGGGTTTCCTAACGTTACAATCCGTGACACAATTTGACAATCTCCTAAAATCGCAATAATTCTTTTTATTTAGTAATCAATTTTCCGCTTATAAAAAGCTGTTTTATCAAATGAAACAAGATTTGTAAGAAACACAGAAAAGAGATCCATAAACAAACCTAAATAACAACTTAAGCAAACTTTAGTGTGCAAAATTAAAAATTTTATTGTTGAAGAGTTTCAGAACTTTTTATTTTCGTCTTCATTTGCCGGAAAACAACTCGTAAAACAGTGATCAAGGACTAGAAGAATAAGCGAAGTAACGTGCATAAATTCATAGACTCAATTCAACAGACTAAAAACTTTATCATTAGCTATACAATGATACAGGAAAAAAATAAAAATAAATAAAAAAAAATAAGAACGCAGGCAATTATTTTTTGCAACATCCAAGTGTTTATCATAATCGTTATAAAAAATTTCAGTCCTGTTTAACGACGAATGCTCTGCCATTTATTTGTGAAGCTTTCCGCTCCTCCAACTTTTTTTGCAGTAGCTTTTAGATGAGATTAGAAAACGATGTTGCTTGAGTTGAGAAATATCAAATCTGAATCAATATATATATGCTGAGAAAGAAATGATGCGGCTTTAACCTTTCCAGTAAAATATAGGCAAAGAACACACGATTAATTTGATTCAAATAAAATAAAATAAAAACTTTCTGTTTCATGTGATATTTCAAACGTTTTTATCATTCATTTTTTTCCTCAGAATACTATAAACGTTTTTTAGGCCATTTGATCTGTTCGATATCTGCACGATAAAGAGAGTTGTAAGCGAAACGGTTTCGGAAAACAAAGTGAAAATAAAATAAACAACCTGTTATCCGTGACAGTAAAATTTGTCAAAAAGAAAACTGTTAAAGAAAAGAATACATCAACCCATAAAAAACAGCAAGAATTAGTCAACAACTTTTTTAAAGATAAGAGATAAATTTCTATGCAGACTGTCTTAAACTTTTCAAAACTACAGATAAAGGTGTTGATTATGTTAGTGACGTCAATAAGCAAATAGATTGTTTTGAAATATCTGACTGCGTACAAATATGAAAGTGCTCGGACAAATCGTTCTACTTTTCATCTCCATATATCGCTGAAGGGTAAATTTAAATGTCGATTCTCTTTCTAAAATATTTCATTAATTATTTTTATTCTCTAGTAGAACGCTATCTCAGGTATTCTACCGTTACATTTTGCAGTTAACAGTTGCTTAAACACTTTTTGAGCTTTCCATTTTATTAGATTTTCCTTACAACAGAATCCAAAGACTTCCTTTAACGCTGTTCGCGACGCATGCAGAACTTTCCAATTACGGATGAAAAAAAATAAACATCATCCTGATCCGAAAGCTGTTGGAACAAAACGCATTCAAGTTTGTATAAGAAAGTTTTCCAAGCTTTCAGCAATTTTTAGCTGAGCGAATTTTTTTGTACTTAAATTACAAATTACTGTTAACTTCAAACCACAAATCAAAAATAATATAGCAAGGCTTTTAGAAGGAATATATTAGTGATCACATCTCCTAACAAATCTGTGCCCTATCGTAGTTCTCACTAAATTTCACAAGAAAAACATTTATATAAGTGTCAACATCATTTACATCAGTAGATCGCTACGTTGGAGCTTAACTGTAGAAGTTTTCCTGGGGGGTAAAATTTAACTATTATACAAATCCTTCTGAATGCACGACCTACGCAAAGATTCTTCTAATCAAATGCCAATGAATCAGAGATTGAGGATGGTAGAAAACCATATAAATTTTTGAGATCAGCAGTATGAATTATACGTTAACTAAAAAAAAGAAAAAAAAAGTTGTACAAAAATTATATTCTTGATTAGAATTACAGAAGAATTTGATTGTCGATTTTTTGGCTACCGATCTACGAGAACTATGTTATTTGTTTAACTGATAACCTATAACAAACAAATAAGAATCAGCCTGAAAAGTTATGCTATACGCTGGTTCATTTTCTTTCAATAGATAAAACTAAAACTGTATGCTTCTCAGCTTAATTCATGCAAAATCGATTATAAAAAAATGTATACAAAAAAGCAACTGCCGCTTTAGAGAGTGCTCCTCTGCTAAGATTTACCATGCGCCCACAATCGCCTTTAACCCCACATTTAATCTCATCAGAAACTGAACATAAATTTTTATAAAGCCTTATCTCAAAACTATAACAGTGACAACGTAACGAATTAAATTAGTGTTTTATGGTCATTGGTCACCCGACTGTTACTTTTACTAGTGTTTCAAAGCTAAATCCTTTACATTTCCAGAAATATTATTCCGAACGAATATTTTGCTTGAAACATTTCAAACTGTATATCGAAACTAAATTCTCAAAAACTATCATTTTAACAGCTCAATTAATTTAGCTGATAAAAACATTTCAACACTGAGCAACTTCTGCCCTAAGTTTTGGAAGTAAAATATGGATTAATTCATACTGACCTACCTGAACTTGGGGTTAAAAGTAGATAATACATGCGTATTTACTTGATAAAAGTCTACTTTATTATCATTTCCTCGTTCTCTAATTTATTTATTAAATGAATGTTCCTCAAAGGAATTGGATAAGATCTACATTTGTTTCACAAATTTAATATTTCCGTAAAGTAGACACTGCAGCCTAGTTAAACATATATTTTGTGTCTTCTGCATGAGAAACCTGTTATATTGGCCGAAAAAGTGGAATTTAAACAAATAAATAATCCACAGTATTAAAAAAGGTAATCCAATATTAACCACTGCAGTTCCACCTCACCCAGTTAAAAAATTGAAGTAGTCGAGGACGAAGACCTGACACAATACAGTACGTTATGGAACTCAAATAGACTTCTTCACGCTCTAAAAAAAAGATGACGAGAAATGTACGGCGATCAGACTTGAATGGTGTCTCCTTCCTCTTCCCACTTCTAAATATAATAAAAATAGATGCTACTTTAGAAAGTAAAGACTGAAACAATCGCATATCGGTGAGTAATTCGAAATAGTACAAATCCTATGATGACAATGACGAAATACACGACTTAGAAAAGCCGAAACAAAATGCACGAGTTACCAGCAGGATGAATTCTTTCTTGCTGCGCCAATCCCGTAACTTTATTTTCTTACCTCTGTTTACTTCATCATCCTTTGAAACCATCTACATATGATGAAAATCCTCCAAAAAAGTGAAGTCACTTTACTGTACTTCTTGCCCCTAAAGATCGGGTCTTCAGGAAACAGTGTCGGGTATCATACAGGCAACTGCGGTGACAAGAATGATCGTTTTTCAATCCCATTACCGCACTTTGCAATAAAATTATCGTTCACTAAAACTGGTTTCCAAACTAGAACAATTTAATCAGTCTCTTGAACAGTGAAGCTGACGTCCAAACTTTTTCCCAACTCTAACATTCTGAAAGATCACTACGCTCAACAGCAAATGGTCATTGTCAAACCAACAAAAGAAGTGCCGGAATGGGGTTATTTCGGCATTTTCCTTTAGGTGGTCAAAGGCTCTTTCAGCGTGTGAAACCACCTGCAATCTGCAGGTTGTACCGCAGTAAATGACGTTAAGATTTCCTTAATAATTTATAACCGCTTATTCGAAAGTTTTTTTCTTGCATCCACATTTCTTAAAATCTCCAGATGATAAGCGTACGATACGAAAAATAAGCAGTCAACTAACGCTGCGCGAAGCTGTTGCTTGGCGTGAGTTGTACATGCCATCTCACCGCTTGGACACATACGGCCAACTACACCTCGACCGACAAACGTCTTGTAACCCATATTAACACTTCCTCTACTGCTTTTATCAGTACACCGCTTAACAGCAGACCTTCAAACGTCCTGAGAACGCCGTCATACAGCAGTGAACACGTGACTTCAGTCAGTTAGTTACAAGTAATACCTAAGTGGTGCAACGACCAAGCGGTGCGAGGAGTGCAGCAATGGCTGTTGGCTCGTGTCCAATCGTGATGCTGTTGCTGCAGATGGCATCAAACCTCGCGCCGTCAAAGGGTTTTGTCTTGGAAACGCGCCAGAAGTGTTTCAATTTGGTTTGTTGTTTTTTCCGTTGCCGTTTCTCATTCTTTGATTCGGAATCTTACTGAAGTGATTTCTGCTTCTTAGCTTAATTTTATCGAGAAATAGTTGTTTCTGCGTAAAACAGCGTAGTTTTCTATTGATTATTTCTAATAGGATATTATAAACGCATATGAACTCGACGTTTTCTTTTGTCTACATTATTTTTGGTGATATTCATTATTTTTTGAATATCCCCATTTTTTAACCGCATTGTAATTGCCTTCCAGTCATTTTTGGAATTACTTGTCGTAAAAGAGCGTTTTTTAGACTTATTACCTTCATATGTCTCTGAAGAAAGTGGGTTAACGTTTACCTCGGCTGATAAGAGAATCTCTAAACGACATTTTAAAATCGTTTGGTACAGAAATGGAAGCCGATGTTGTAAAAGCTTTTCATAACGAGGTTTGCAACATGTGTTACTTGCAGTTCTTTTTTGTTTGATTCACTCCGTTTCAAAATATAAGAACTATTTGTCTACAATACTTTCTGTTGCTTTTTTCCAAAATTATGCAATATTTTGTAAATATGGGAGTCTATTTTTTATTCTCTACTTTTAAGCTGGTGTCCTTGTACGAGCTAAAACCTCCAATTAGTAAAAATAAGATCCAGGAGATTACAAAAGCCGCAATTAGAGCAATCAAGTACTACAAACATGTTGTGTTTGGAGTCGAAAAATTTTTAACCAAGGTTCTTTTATTGAAAAAGTTTTAATAGTTTTCTCTAAACTGCTAAAAAAAAAGCAAAACGTTGTTTATTTTTTTCAGTGCAAACCTGAATACAAACTTCCTGGTATGTACTGCATCGACTCAATAATTCGCCAATCTCAACATCAGTACAAGGAAAAAGATGTTTTTGCCGCAAGATTTGCAGTTAATATGTTGCAGACAGTGGTTAACCTTATGAGTTGTAAAGCTGAAGACACAGTTAGCTTATGTTCTTTGTCAATTTATCCGAAAAGATTAAAAATATCATGATGTGACAAAACTATTTTACAAGAAGAACACCTGTAGTTTTTTTGGACTGCTTCGAAATTCTTTTTTTTACTTCAAAACGTTTTATTTATTAGTAACAATTGGAATGTAAATCTTTTAGATTGCTTTTTTTTTGTTCTAGGTTTTAATCTTTTCCATCTCTTTTCTCTCTTTTGTAGGCTATTTCCGGCATTACTATTATTATTATCATTATTATTGTAAAACCTCCAAATTTTTGTGTTTGTTAAATATTTTGTACTCGATGGTGTTTTAGATGAAAATTGTGAGGGTGATGAATTTATGGATAGTTCAAAAAGTATATGACGAGGAGATAGTAAGGCCCTGGCTGGAGTACTGTAGGAAAGCTCATGGCGTTGGTATGTCTGTGAACCATTTTTTTGGCTGGTTTTTCTAGGAAAAGTCTCGCGGTGTAACTGCTTTTTTGTAGATTAGTTTTTGCAGGTGTTATTAGTACAATAACCTTCAATTTTGGAATCTGGATTTGCTTTCAGATACTGATTTCCTACACGTTGAAAGATCTGTGAAGGGTGACGCTGCAAATCTGTCACTTTACAGTAAAGTCCTTTCTGGGAAAATCGATAAAAGAAAAAGTTCTCAAATTCAGTCTCCTCCTTCAAGCGAAAAAATTGATGGAAAAGTAATTCTAAAATTAAATTTTTTTAGCTTTTTTAAGTATTTCAAATCTGAAACTGTTGTTTTGCAGCCCATCTGAAGCCTTCTAGTTTTGCATAGAATTATTTTATATTTTCTTTTTCAGGATAATATGCCTCACACTCCTCCACTTGAAGCGCATGAAGAAGTTACAGAAGGTGGCATTAGCGAGAAGGAGACCTTGGAAATAATAACGAATATGAATCTAGATTTGGGAGGGATGTTTACTCAAGACCCGAACCTGTTAAAACGCTTGAATAAAATAATAAACGAAAAGTTGGTTGAACGCAGAGAGTTAGATTCCCGCAGACAAGGGAACATCAAGGTTTCTTCATCAGATAGAGCTGTATTTCGCATTTTTGGATTTGATCAGTAGTTTTAAGTATAAAAATTAATTGTTTTTTAGTGCTTCTTTATTTGTCCCCATTACATTTTCTATAAAATTTGATCGAGAAGCCATGGGTGTCTTCAGGAGGATTAAATTTTAGAGCTTACTTTCCCGAGAGTTCGACTACAGTGATGAAGAGGATAGTGGAGAGGAAGACGCAAAACACGTTTCGATAGATACAAAACCAGCTGAGCTTACGAAACAACAGATAAGAGGGTGTGCCGTCTCAAAGTTTTCTTTAACTCAATTTTTCTTGCAAATATAAAGGTCTTTAGTATGGCAGAAACGGTTTTACGCGATGAAGGGGTCAAGGAAGAAATTCATCGTATGCATACAGAAAGATTAACAGCTATGTCGCAAACAGCTATACCTCACTTCCAAGCCACCGCTACTCAAAGTGGAATTCGAAATACTAATGGTCCTATTTCAATCCCCCTTAACGCTGTGGAAGCTGAATCTAGTGTTCCTTCACTACCTACAATCCAGCCTATCTCGTCATCCATTCGTCCTCCATCGCTTCTTTCACTGCCAGTGCATCCTCCTCAAATGGTACATTACTAAATCTTGCACTTTTTGGTTAGGTTGGACATCTTATGGTCTCTTCTTCAAGTCTAAAATTGAGATTTAGTTATTAGGCGGTCCGGGCGGCATACCTGGTTTCCCTCCAAATATGCTACCACTAGGCTTTACTATACCGCCTCCTCAACAACATAATATCCCCATTCAGAGCAATGCAGAATCCACTCATATGGATACTGATCAGGTACTTTTCGTAAAACTTACATGAGGGGTTCTGATTCTTCGATGCTTTTCACTGTCCGGCGGAGTTCAAATTTTTATATTTTTTTAATTGTTTTGGCTTTAGTCCAATTTTTAAAATTTCCAGTTTTGCATCTCGTGCTGCCATTTAAACTGCTTATGGTTTTTACAGGATGATAGAGTTCGCAGACATGACGATAGGTACGACTTAGATCGGGACAGCAGAGAACGCCGGGATAATAGAAGTAGGGACAGACGTGATGACAAGAGACGTTCGCGGTTTGAGAGGTTTGCATTTTAGGTGTTTTTTTAGGCTTTGCTTTCTTTTCATTTCAATTCTGTATTGGTTAGGTGCCTAAGCCTGCTGCATTTTTAGAGATGAAAGGGGGCGTGATATAAATGACTTTCATGAATATGATACGAGGCCTTCGAAAAAGTCGAGGAGAAGTCGCTCTAGAGAACGTGAAGAGTCGAGGAAAGACCGTCGACGAACTCCTAGTCTTGATCGTCGTTCGCGTTCTCGCGGTCGTGATAGGGACTACGAAAACTTAACGGTTTTTTCTGATTGTTCTTCACGTTGCTGCAAAATTATTGTCGGCTATTTTTTACATGTGTAGTCTAAATGTTGCTTGAAAAACCGACTTGTGTTTTTCAAACTCGATATAATTCTACCTTCTTCATCCCTCTTTTGTTTATAAAATTGTTTCACGATTTCCGCTTTGGTAATTATTTCTGTTTAGCATCGGGAGGCAGAAAGGCAACGACGAAAAATGGGTATTCCGTGGCCACCAAAAGAGGGTCATTTACTAAGTGGGTTTTTTAGAAGTTTGATCAGTTTCTCTCTGAAAGAGATAAGGAAATCATTATAGGTTTCTTTTCACGGAAAATTTGTTTTAAATATTAGTGGTGTGAGGTTTCTTTACATCTTTAGTTGCCTCTTGTACGTTATGGTTTGGAAGGCTTCCTTCAAACTGTTCTGAGGAGGATATTCGTATGTCCGTCATCGATGCTGGTGAACCCAAAAGAATAAATATCATCCCTTCGCGTGCATGCGCATACGTAACCATGAAGGATCGAAAGGCAGCGTTTCGTGTGATGGAACGCCTTCAGCGGGGAATACAGGTCGCCAAAAGAAATGTTAAAGTAAGCTCTGATTTCCTCCTAATAATTTTCAGTAGGTATGACAATTTTTTGTGAAGAAAACTTTACAGCACTTCAGATTTTTGATATTTCTTTTTTTATGTACTTTATTAGAAACTTCGTCGGGACGAAGAATTCTGTAATTTTTTCTTTTTTATCTTTACTGTCTTGTTTTTAGTTGAGTTGGGGTATAGGCCAAGGGCTGAAAGAAAAGTTCATGGATTATTGGGACTCGGACCGTGGTGTTTCTCAAATACCACACAGTAAATTACCTGAAAATCTAGAACCACTGCTTGAAGGTGGACAGTTGGACGTAGAAACTTTGCCATCCCATTTATCAGGTACTGTCTATATGGTTTGATGCAATTCTTTGTATGTCTGATTTCGTATTTTACGTAAAAATAAGCGTGCGCGAGGGTAACAAAGCCGGTAGTTTAAGTAAAGGTGTGGTAAGGTTAGAATAGGAAACCTGAAATGAAGATGTTTGGCACCTTTTTTTTCTAGTCAACTTCCTTTTTAAAGCAGAAAGAGGAAATTCGAAAGCAACAGTCAGTTGTGATCGGCTTTATTGCGGCCCAGTTTTTGTAAAACACCTGCTGTAAGCGCTTCATTAAGTGCGCGAATTGGCAGATAAATAATACCCGTCTATGCTGCAGTAGTCCAACTACGAGATATCAAAATCGAGAGCCATTACTACTAGCAGCACGGTTGAATTTTAAGTTTTGAAATTCGGTAAGGGTATGACTAACGGTTTGCACTGGCCAAATGGCATAAGCAGTTTTCTCGAGTAATTGTCATTAGTTGGACTACGACTACTTTTAGATAGTATACCAAAATATTTTTAGAACAGGTTTTGGGAAGCTTAGAAAAAGGAAAGGAAAAATGATGTGTAAAAAATTTACATTTCATTGCATTGACCCTGCATATATGACGACGATGGAATGGAAAGCCAAAAATAAGAAGTTTTCTCTACAGTTAAAAAGTTTTTTAACGCGAGTACTCTTTTTATTTGCAGAACAGTTCAAAAGCAGAAAAAAACTTTTAAACGCAAATTTTAGGTAAATAAAAATATTTAGATGCTGAACCTAGTTATGGTTATGAGGAATGGTTGTTTTATTAGAAGAATGAGTGATTTGCGTAGAAAATATTAGAGAGGAGAAGAAAAAGTTTCATTAAACTTAATTTCAATGTTGCTTAGTTTAATGGAAGTGGTGGGTTGATGGTTGTACTAAAAATTACAGTGGAAGATCATATGACTATCAGCATGATTTTTTAATTCAATTGTGTACTTGCGAAGACAATTTTCAAGAATTTGAACTTTATCTTATAAGCTTTTATTTTACAAGAAAAATCTACTTTTATGCTTAAATTCCAGTTTTCGAGCTTGTGTTAATGTATGAATGTTTCTTTATTCCTTCTTAAAGCTAGATATCTCGGCCGCTTCAAATGACAGAAGTGAAAGAGAAGGTTTAAAGTTCACCTCAAACATGCATTTTTTACAAGAGATGTTCAGAGAAAAAGTGACATTACTTTATAGGTAGCGGAGATAATAATAACGCATGTAAATGTTTTTGCCACTTACTTACCAGTCGCACTCTAGCCGTCTTTCATTGGTTGCTTTGAAAAATAAATTTTTTTCAATATTGTAGATCATTTTTTACGTTTGCTTTTTTATCTTCTCAGGTCTGTATGACGAGTATGGTCTGAAAAGCAAAAAAAGCGATCATATTAATGGGAATCCCCAAGACGTGCAAGCTGCCTCTAGCTTAGCATCACTTGCATATTCAGGTATGTTATACTTTCGTTTTTTTCCATTCAGTTTTTCGCTGTTTAGCTCTATACCTCAAGTTATACCGTCGCAGTTGAAATATTTTTTTTGTTTTTCACATAGCAGATTTTCTTAGTGGTTTAGTCATGAGCATAAATGGCAGAAAAGGAAAGTGAACACAAAATTTTTTTTTAGCAAATCCTGCAGCAACAGTCATAAGTGGCACATTCTTTCCACCTATGACAATGCCTTTACCAGGACCTTTCCCTCCCGGCTTGCCTCCAGCCGTCAACACCATAGTACCACCGTCTTATCCACCAAAGGGAAGTTCAGGGAAGCTGAACATGGTTAGTAATGACGCAGATTCAAGTGCTTTGGCGGAGCCTCAGGTGTTTTTTCTCTCTGTTAATGTCTTTTTTCTTTTACCTTTATTGTTTTTTTTCCTAATTTGCTGGTTTGGATACATTTCTTTCTTCGCATTTATATAAAGATTTAGTTCCTGGCAACTCCAAGGTTTCCTGCTCGTCCTCCTACCAGAGGGGCAAATTTTGGCTCAGGTAAGGCAGTTTCTGGCAGATTTTTTTTTGTACTAACTGCAACTGGCCTCGAGCTTCAGAAAGCACTACCAACTTAATCGCCACTATTTTTTGTTCAGGCTTGCCTCCTTTCGGTCCTCGCGGTTTTTCAGGCCCGAACGCTAGTCGATTTTCAAGGGGTTCAGGGTATCGTGGTGGCGCTGGTTTTCGTGGTAGCCGGCAAGGTTTTGCCCCTCGGTTTGCTTTAATTCTTCCCCTCTTTCCTTTTTCTTTCATACTTGGATTTCAGCTACTAGTTGTTTCTTGCAAATCAAACCTTCATTTATCTAATTAAGAGAGTTTGTGTATCACTTTGTAAAAGTTTTAGCGTAATGATTCTGATGGTCTTTTTTGTTATGGTTATGAAATTTCTTCTAGGACGTCTGATGGAAATTTTCGTGGCCGCCCGCGTTTTGTTAGTGGGCAATATTCGGTAATGTTATGTTTAGTTAGAAAGTCACTGTTTTTTCTGGTCTTTTTTTTGTCGAATGTGTTACAAGTTATGCCTTAATAAATATATAAAACATTAATTTTTTAAATACGAGTTTTGTTTTAGCTACCGTTGAAAATTGCTTTTCAGGCTATAGACGGTTCATCTAGGTTTTTTAGCCCTTCTCATAAGGGATCAAGATCGTCAAAAGCTCAAATGAAATCTGGCGAGGAAGGTAAACGTTGATAATTTATATTTTTTTACGTAGAAGTTTCGCTTTTTTTTCTAATTTTTTAGATTCATTTTTTTCCTTCGTTTAGATAAGGGTATGATTCAAAGGTCTCAGAAAAGATGGCATTTTCTTAGTTTTTCATTTGTTTAATTTGTTGGAGTATATTTTCAACTATCTGGGATCTGTTTACGATGTTCTCGATATTAATATTCTTTGTCTTTACTTAATTTTGTGAATCACCTTAATGTTTATTTCTGAGCCAAGAATTGTATTTTCCAGAACAGAAGGAAAATCAGCGTCACCATGAGGAAGTTGGGAGCACTTCAGTCGAACAACCAGATAAAGGTGAATCTTTTAAAATATTTCAATTTCGCCGTTTTTAAAGACTAAGTTTCGTGGTTCTTAATTTTATATACCATTAGCGAAAATGCTGAGAAAAATTAGTTCTGCAGTTCTTCAAAAGTATGCCGTCATTGCTCAAGCATCTGTGTCCTGTGTTTTATTGTTTAAAAAAGTTTATCGGGTTTAAGTTTCGGGTACTCCAATGTTTTTATATATTAAGACTTTAAAAAATTTATGAAACTTAGCTGAAAATTTGGTACATAAGCCCGAACTTTCTTTTAATTGTCTTACTGAACACGAAGTGTTTGTGAAACTCTATACCACCGACTTCGATGAGGCTACCATTTTGACAGAACAATAATGCTATTCCTCAAGCACTAAAGCATTTAGATCTATTAACTGCGGAACGAAAAATGAGTATTGAAGAGAGCTTGACTTTGACTTGGTAATAAAGTTACAAGTTTATGATACAGCATTGTTTCAATTAAATATTGTTCTTCGATCAATTTATAAAAAGCATTTATTTGTTTTTGACAAGGCGTATTAGTAGTTATATAGCCAGCTAATACTTTTTGTTCATTATTATTTGCAACACGGAAGAGCACCTGGCTTTTGTTCATTTTGTAAGATAGTTTTTTTTTTCTGGAGTATCTGCTAGAGATTTCCAACAAATTTTTGGCTGGATTTGTCTAGGGGAAAAATTGAAATAAGTTATGTTTTATTAATATTTTACTTCTTGTTCTGCGGTTACGATAGGCTTCTTTTACGTGCCTGTTAAGTTCGTTAAGTTGATCAAGCTCTTCATGCTTTTAAGTTTTTTTAACAGCATACTCCGATTTTTTCTAGTCGCTGTATCTGGCTTGTCGAGTCGTTCACTTGACAAGAGAAACTAGCTTACTGCAGGATAATAAAAGAGTTTTTTCTAAGTTTCGACTTCTTAAATTTATAATTTACATATTGGAGATTTTTTGTAGAGGTGAGATTTTGCGAGTTAATTCTCTATAAGTCATTAAGTTAGCTGTGTGTGATATTGGGCTACTCTCTAACTTCTGCACATAGTAAGTTACTTCTTTGGCAGTTTAATAAGTTCTTCGCTATTACTATTTTTATCTAAGGTTCGTTTTTGGAGGTCTTATATGACCTTATTTCGATTCTTTCCTTACTAGTTTAGAAGCTTTGGAACGGAAGTACACTTTCTACTGCGCTGTTTTTTTGACGGTTTACTTCCTTGAGGGCCTTAAAAAACATTCGAGTTTTTTGAAATTTTCACGTTAAATCCTCAAATGTAGAGGGTTCTCCACCATACCAATTCTTAATTTTAGATAGTGCTAGACCTTTTCAATATTTCCGTGTTGGTCTTAAAAGATATCTGAATTTATCACGAAAATTTTCTTTTTTGGTAATTTCTTTCTTTGAATCTTTTCTTGGAAAGGGTTTTGCGGAAGTTTGTCTGTAGATGTTTTGCAGATGGAAAGAAATTTCAAGAAATCGAAAGAAATTTCTGTGAAAATATTGTTTATTATTATAAAATTGAACTAGGGACCAGCTAAACATTTTTTGACCTAATTCTTATGTTGTTCCTGTTCTTTCAAAGCATGGGTCCTGTAGATCAATAATTTTGTGAAGTATTTGGATTTTTTGTTGCTTTGAGACAGTTGAGCTCAGTGAAGTCCCTTTTTAAAAATAAGGCTCGGCTAGGATTTTAAATTTAACTTATTTTGTTACTATTTGAATTTGAAAGAAAAATTACTGGAAAATGTTCTTTAGAGTTGCTACGATGATGTAGTAAAACTGCTCGCATTGGTTACTGTAGAGTTGGAGTCGTAGGCTTTACGAGAACCTATGAATAATGGTTGGAAGACAAGCATGCCCTCTTTATGTTTCTATTATAGAAGGAATTAGTCACTCCGACAGGGATTCAAAAACTTAACAAAAATTCAGAGAGCAAGTCGAAAGCATGGTTGACATAAGGGATCATAGTACAGTACGAGACAGCCGTAGAAGGCTAGGATGAAGGTAAAATAGGAGGAAAGATATTGAGCACGGAATGTCTCTTGATATACTATTAATTTGTTCACTTGTTCCTAGTTTGTTTGTTGTATTTGAAAGACTTGTACGGGAAGGTCAGTTTGAAAGCTCTTTGGAATTAGAAAGTAGATAGTTTTGAATTAATTTTGGAAGTTGTAGTTTAGATTTAAGTTTAATTTTTTTTTTCTTCGAAATAAGTCGATTGTTTCGATCTGGCCGTGATTGCAAATTTTTGAAAAACAATTTTGATCAATTTATGCGTGGTAGTCGGAAGCTGTCTGTTACTTATATGGTACAGACTTTGCTGTTTAATCACTTGTTTCGTTGAAATCGGTGGCATAAGTTACAGGATGCCGATGTTTGACATTGAGTGCTGTTTTGTAAACAGTTAGTTGTGATCCACACTTGTGTTTTGTTAGTACTATAATTTGAACTTCAAAGTTTTGTCATAAATCGGGTATAATTCTTTGATTGATGGAACAAATAAATTAAGACATTTTGCCAGAAGCCATGGATACATCGGTGTCGTCTACCACATGTGAGGACGAGAACTCCATAGCTATGGTTGAAATTAACACCACGTCGAAAACGGATACAAACACAAAAATGGTAGATATTTTTTCTGAGCTTTAAGGATCGTTGCTAAGTTTTATACATGGTTGTCGACTAATTTTCAACCTTCTGTCGTTTTTCATTTTTTCACAAAGGAAAGTATTAGCTGCTATGGGGACTGTTAGCCTAGTGCAAACGTTTCTCTGGGAACAAAAGCAAAACGGCCAAAATTGTTTTTTTAAGGGAGGATTTTGGCGGCAAAGGGTTAGGAGAGATTATTTGCTTTTTTTCCTTTTAAGATTGTGTATTTTGGCTGGTTTTTCTTTTTTTTTCCTTTTCAATGATTTGCTATGAGAGTTAGACTGGGAAAATCATATGAGATGAGGGAATTTATTCCAGGCAGTTACGCAAAAAGAGGATGATTTACTGGAGAATCCAATAATCTATGATCCTGACGAGGATGAATGACTTCCTTAATGTTTTTGCAGGATTTTTGTGGCCTGTTTTTTTTTTTCATTCTTATTTTTATTTTTTTATTTTATTTTTTTTTTTTTTTTT